ACTCCTACTTTACTTCTCGTTTGATAACGATTTCGCTCTTTTTCTTAAATTTCTACTTGATTTTGTTCGGGTTTTTTGCCCAAAATCGATCCTGAATCGAAGTTTTCTCAAGTAACAGTTCAGGCCCACTACTAGCAGATATTGTCCTCTTTGAGCTTTCCCTTCCGGGCTTCCCCTCAAGGCTTTAAAACGCATGGGAAAAGTTTCCACACACTGAGTATTTTGTTCTCCTCCACAACTAATGTGGGATATCACAGTTATAATGGGTTTGGGCCATTACAAATGGTATCAGAGCCAGACATTGGGCAATGTGCCAGCGAGGAGGCTATTCCCCGAAGGGGGTAAACACGGGACGGTGTTGCCAATAAGGACGCTGGGCCCTGAAGAGGGGTGGATTTGGTGGGGATCCCACATCGACGGGAGAAAGGAACAAGTGCCCGCGAGTAGTCCTGAAGGGGTGGATTGTGATATCCCATGCTGGTTGGGGAGGAGAACGAAACACCCTTTATAAGGGTGTGAAAATTTTTCCCTAGCAGACGCGTTTTAAAGCCTTGAAAGGAAGCCTAAAGAAGACAATATTGGCTAGCAATGGGCTTAGGTCGTTACATACTGTTTATTACATCCGCTCATATCTTAAATCATATTTGATAATATTTTATTTTCAGATTTTCAGCCAGCCAGTTTTCCCAATGGTTGAGAAATGGGCGACAAGAAAATATCCAAACAACATGTTTGTGACCAAACAATTGTCCATGAAGCTCCCAATGTTGCCTCGCTTTCAAGTTCATGTCTTCAGGCTATGTTTTAGAACAGCCTATGTTCTATCAACCACTTGTTGTGCTGTGCTGTTCCCTTACTTCAACCAAGTTTTGGGGTTGATTGGGGCTTTCAACTTTTGGCCTATAGCCATTTATTTCCCTGTGGAAATGTTCTTGAAGCAAAGGAAAATTAGGGCTTGGACACCCACATGGATTGTTTTTAGGGTTCTTAGTTTTCTTTGTTTACTCGTCTCTGTTTTTGGGTTTCTCGGGTCACTCGAAAGAATTTGTAATGCTAAGTTTAGCTGAAAGAAGCAAAAAAAACAAGACAAACTCGTTCTTTTTCTTTCGTTGTGTTTCTAAGTTGTCATATGAATGATACACTTGTGGTTATTTAATTGTGTATATCGGTACGTTGAATATTAAACTTATTTCATATATTTATTTATGAATACATGTATATGAGAGTTCTGTGTAATTGAAGAGTCATGAGATTTAGATTCATTTGATAGATACATGCTTTAGTTTATTCATATATCATTATATTGATAGTACATGTACGTGACTTGGGATGGCGTCAAGACATATGGGTCATGTTAATAGGGAACTAAGATGTGATGATGAGATGCAACATTGTATTGAGAGACCTTGGCCATGAGTAGAGGCAAGGTCAAGCCAATGACTTGGCCTAGTGTAAGAGACAATTCGGTTGTGTCGCAGATGATTGAACATGCATCTGCAAGCGGCGTGTGTGGCTGAACAAGCTTGGTTTCCACACATGTGATGCAGTTGACGAAAACAAACCTCGCCCAAGGTTCGACGAAGCCACAAAGTCAGGGGAAAAAGGAATATGGGGCTTGGATTTTCCTCAAGGCTGGTCGTGCCGCACGATTGAAAAGTACGACTATGACACGCAACGCTATCGCTTCCTCTAAAAAGTAGTGGACGCGTTGTCGATTTCCTCTAAGATTCTAGCTCCACTTGATTTCCAACCAGCTTCTGTAACGACCCTGTAATTTTACCTATTTAATCTAAGGTCATTATTATACCTTGGAATGCGGAATATACATTAAATGGGCCTTGTTCATAAATGCGACTTACACTCGTTTTTTATTACCTCGTGAAAGAGAAAATGATTACAAGGGAAAAAGAAACAAACATTATTGAAAGGAAAAGGAACCAAAACTGAAATGAATGTTTTAATTCTACCCTATGGTTTATTATGCAATTACAACTCAACCTATACTAACCTATACGAGTGATGCAAACCGAATTCATCCTAGACTATGAAATAAAGCAACTACCCTATGCATGTGCCACGGTCCCGAGGTGTATGATGCCGCCGTCGTTGTCACATGGGTGCCATGCCCTTATCTGCAAAAATAAAGTAGCACGAGGTTGGTGTATTTCTAGAATACTCAGTAAGTGACCCCCTATCGGGGTTATGCAACAATCACATGCAATGAAATGATGGGACCTATCGTTTCATTTCGTTTGCCCTACGGTGCAGTCTTAACGGGTAATCGTGGACGTGTACCATATGTTGGGTTTTATGTCCTAAAACTCATAGTTTGTAAACAAAAACATATTCTATTTTCAATAAAGTTATTATTGTTGTTTATTCAGTAAAGATTGTTATTGAATAAAGTGAACTTTACGATCATCAATCTAAATCCAATAAACTAAGAACACTCTGGCTATAGTATGATTACTTGAACTATATGTAGAGACATAAGAATGGATCAAGTTCAAGTATATAGTCAAAATGATCTATAGTATAAGGATAAGGTGAGTACCTCATTCTAGGGACACTATGGATGCGACCCACTTTTGTATATGATATAAACAATGTGATCACTAAATTGTACATGTGGAGACATGTGAGTAGGGGCGTCCTATGCAATGAGTATTGCATAAGATCGGACCATGAAGAAAACCACTCTCACTTTATAATGTCGTTTACTGTTGAGACTGATTTTCTTTTCATTCGATGATCTAGGTAACTCAATCTTAATTCTGAGTTAACCATGAACTCCTGTTTATTCGGAATTATCCTTAGATTTGCATGGGTGAGAGTGGCTCGAGTTTGCCGACTCAATAGGCCTCCCATTTCAGGGGTAAGATTAGGTGAATCGCTGGGGACGTGGGGTGCAAGATGGAATTCGCTCCTACCCACTTTTAGGGATAGAAGAGAGGTAGTTCCCTTAAGCACTAACTCCAGGTCTTGAACAAGGGGCCCCACCCTCTCATTGGCCTGAGAGGGATTCGGTTTACTGGTTGGACCACAAACCAATTGTTCATAAGAGGATCAATGGGACATAAGGAACAAGAAGTAACTTTAGGGGTAAAACGGTAAATTGACCCAACTCTAGTTACGAACAACTTGTGAAGGATCGACTTACTAATCATGGTTATATCAAATGGACAGAAATATATCTATAGTGAGGGGAGTGCAACTACTAGGCTATAGTGGAGTGTCCTAGTAGTTAACGAATGTTGGTTAACAAGGTTAATGAGTTTAACCGATTAATCTTGGATCGTTGGAGCCCATGACCTATAGGTCCATTAAGTCCCTCTGCTAGCTCATATCGGACTAAACCATAGAACAGTGTGACGAGTGAGTTCAAAGTGTTCGAATTCAAATTAGGGAATATGCGCTACATATATACGATATATTTAACCGCATTTTTGTTTTATTTACGAATTAAACAAAAAAGAGAGAATCTAAGATATTTAAATAGATTTAAATATCTTAATCAAATATATGTCGGGATTGATTGGTATTGAAATTTGAATTAATATTAAATATTAATTAAATAGTTCAATTAATCATTTAATGTTACTTTAATTTGAAATTAATTATTCAAATTAATGGTTGAATTAAAATGTTGACTCCATTTTATAAAAAACCACCTTAGTGAAATTTTGAGGTTTCAAAATTTGGTTTAACCAAACTTGCATGCTTGACAAATAAACCCCACAAAACAAATAGAAAAAAAAAACAAAAAAACAAAACAAAAACAAAAGGTTTAAGCAGATTTAGTTCGGCCGAGGAGATACGTCAGTTCAGTAGTCGTATGTTAAATCTTCCTCTTATTTTATTAAGTAATATTAATTTGGTTACAATTATTTAGTTTTGAATTAGAGATTAAATGAAAAGAATTTTTGTATGAGTTTTAGGAAATCACAACCAATCATATTTTAGATCTCTTGAATTGTTTAGATCTACTGAATTGTTGCAATGATTTAGGTTGTCAATAATTTTATATGAATTATAGAAAAATAACTTAGAAGCTAAGAATATAATTAATAAATCCCAAGACAAAGGAAATAAGAAAAAAAAAACTAAATATAGATGGAAATACAAAATACTGTTAACGGAAAAGAGAGAAAAAAATAAAAATAAAAAGAGAAGATTTGGAAGTAAGGATAGATTAATAAATATTAATTGGCCAATAATATCTCCAAAATAATTACCGTGGAAGATAGAAGATTGAGAAAATATTTTGTTAAACATAATTTTTAAAAAATAAAACAGGAAAATCAGAGGGCAAGGAACTCCATCAAATTTCGTCGGAGAGAAAATATCAGAATTTAAGAATGGTCAATGTAAATTAGAGAAATAATTTTATAGAGTTCAAACTTAAAATTGATGTCATGGGCTCACATAAGTTGACTGGGAGTTCAACGGACTTTCATTAAGGATAACGACGGAATCGAACTTTCATTAAGGATATATTTGTGACAACGACTTAAGCTAACCAGGTAAGTGACCTTACTATCGGCATGGTTATATTTGATGTTGATACGTGCCCTGTGGTTCTACACGTGTCATATATATATTGATATGTGTGAATTGTCTGTGGATCGATATGCTTCCTACATGTTATGTTATGTTATTATATGTGGTTTGTATGATAATAATTATGGTACGATGTGCTCAAGGATATGTTTGAGATAGGATACGAGAAGGATGCACAGAACGAAATGTAACGATAGAAGATACGTTCATGAAACGTTAAGGTTAGGTTACATACCGGAGTGCTATGGATAAGAGAGATTGATGAAAGAATACGGTTAGATTATGAGTAGAAAGGGATAGGTTTGTGATAGATTGATAGAACGATAGCGTTATGGTAAGTTAGAGAACGATATGACTATGAAGTGTTTACGTTATGACTTGTTTATGATATGGTACATTGTATGCTAGATTATTGTGCTTAAGTACGTAGTTATGTGAACGTGAATGTATGCTGTGTATGCTTTTAGTCTAATGTGATATGTTATGCATGTGACGATGGGTGGTCCTTGAACGATTATGGCTTGTTTGTATGAATATTTGAATGTAACTATAACGCCCCTAATTTTCTCTAACCTAATTAGTGACGTTACTTTATACTTGCATAATCAACCGAATAAGAGTTCATGTAAGACAATCTCAATAACAACAATGCGTTCATTATTATAAGCAGTTCATACCTGGGGAAGTCAATAACGACAACCTAACTTAGAAATAATCAACAGAGAACTAAAGGAAACAATTGCAATAACTATGAACCCAAAAGAATCCAACCAGGCGCCTACGACACTACAAACTCTCCTCAGGATTTCCATGGCCTTCGCAGCATCCACCGTCAGTCGTACATGGGAGCCTTGTCCTTACCTGAAAATATGGGTAGCACGTGACTTGAGTATTATATAAAATACCCAGTAAGTCGCCCCACTGTTAAGGTTAAGCACATAATCATACATCTGGATACAAGCAGTCGCACACAATACACATACATGTCACAAACGATACACATACATGACGCACACAACACACATACATGTCCCACATAACAGCCATACCTATAGCACATAATAACCATACATAACGCACATAATAACCATACATGTCGTACATAATGACCATACATGTCGTACATAATGACCATACATGTTCTACATAATAACCATACATGTCCCACATAATAACCATACATGCCGCACAGTGTTAGAAGAACGAAGCTGAGAGAGGGGTCTGTCTTCCATTCCTTCCCATGGCCTTAGGCCCTTGCTTTGTCCGGGCAGGGGTGGATGCATGGTAATTTCCCACACATGGCCCACGTGTGTGTCTGTGGGCCCACCAGGCGAGCTCGCAAGCGAACTCCCTGGGCCTGGCTTGGTCGGGTATGTATGACATACAATACCAGACGTCACGGACAAAGGAGGGCCTGCATGATATCGTGGCGAACACAATATTGAATATACGCATCCATACCATCAGTAGCATAACGGGGGGGTGCCCCAAGTACATAACCATAGCGTGCATGATGTTCTTAAGGTTTACCTCCATGACATTATACATTCAACGTTCCATCCCCTTGCTGCATTACATAGCATAATCGGGTCCACATTGAGCAAGCATATCATAGCATAACCGGGTCCACATTGAACAAGCATATCATAGCATACTAGTCATCTCATTCATGACATGCGGGGTTCTCATTACAATCATGACATGTCAATCAAGCTCATCATACATACAGGGCAACACACCGTGTCAAAACATCATATTCATAAACATGGCATACATAGCAATTCACTGCAAGAATCAAATACATAAACATAGCATGCATAGTATTTCACAGCAAGAAACATCCAACCTAGCATACAGCAACAACATATAGTGCATGCAAGAGCCACAGGACACGAACCAACATACATAACTAACGCCAACAGTAAGGTTACTTACCTCCTTGGCCTTGGCCGAAGTCACCCACAATGCTAACTCCGGCGCCTAACTACCTCCTATAAGATAACATGATACACTTAGAGCTCTTTCACAACTAGCTCTTATGCCTAGCTACCAAGGTACGTCTCTATCACAAGCTATTTTATCACAATAGAGTTATATTGACCTCAGATGGCAGAAACAAGGGTGGGAATGGCTCCAGAAGGGTCAAAAACCTAGAAATCGGTATACTGTTCGGATGTCGAGCTGTCGAGCCGTGCCGCCAAGCCGCGCTGCCGAGCCGACCTAGCCGAGCCGCTGGTGGAGCCGAAACCGACGGGCTGCGAAGAACCCTAACGGCGTAGGGTTTCTGGGCGCACCTCTAGTTTAGGCCGAAAAGGAACGAGGCCCAATGGTGGTGTCCGAGCACGGTCTACGAGGTGTGGGTTGCACGCCAGTCGAGACAGACCGTGGAATGCCGAGGGTCGACCCGCACTCGCCACTTCGTCTTCCTCGCCCGAACGCCTCAATAGCCCTAATCGCGAGCTTGGCTACTGTCACCTATGGAAGCGTCATTGTTCGTCCATCTCCGGTGGCGCGTCTGTCCCTCCTTGCCCGACGTACACTGGTGCCTGATCCTACCTAAAGCTCACGGCGTTATTGATCTACCAACCCAATCTGAAGTCTCACGACGTTTTCGATCCCTCACCTAAACCCTTCGGCTCCTCTCTCACAGGTATGACAGTGACTCAAAAAGGAAAAGACGGCTACTAAGGTACCCAGGGTTTAATACACATTAATACGCCCCGGCAAGGCATGACTCACCGAAAATCCCACGATTTCCGGCGAGATTTGAGGCGTTTCCCTTTTTTTTTTTTTGCCTTTTTGAAACCCTTACCGTTACAGTAACGGCATGAATTGTATGACATGAAATACGGTAAATTGCATGAAACATAACCCCGCTAGGAATATGTATGATATGTAAAGAAATGAGAATAAGAATGACATGTCAGCATGAAAACGTGACAGGGGGTTATGTTCATTAATGATAACTGTAGGACTAGTGGGACCTCATGCATATTGTGTGTTCATGCATTTAGGGGGATACCTTTATCCCATCACGAGGGTACGGACGCGTACATCCAATGATAGGATAACGATCGTTATGCTTTGCACAGCGCTGCCGTGACGGTTCTAGTTTTAACGGGTCCCAGTATAAGGGGCTCCCAAAGTATGTCCACCGGCTAGGGACAGTGGCCCAGCGGTGTGTGAACTAGCTGGTAAGCCCATACTCGCACGTATAGGCTGCGTGCAGAGTATATGGTACACGTCCACGATTACCTGTTAGGATTATACCGTAGGGAAAACGAAACGAAACGAAAGATAGGTCTCATCATTTCATTACATGTGATTGTTGCATTTAACCCCAATAGTGGGGTCACTTACTGAGTATTTCTTTAAATACTCAAGCCATGTGCTACTACATTTTTCAGGTTAAGGCAAGGCATTCCTGTACGGCTGACGACAGCATCGCAACTCGAGATCATGGCACATGCATAGGATAGTGGCATTTATTTTCTTAGACTTAGGATAGAATAGGATGTTTTAAACTTAAACGCTCATTTATTTTATTTCGAGTCTTTTGTTGTGTCATTTTAAAGATGTTTTCGAAACAAGTAAGTCCATGACTATGTTTTAAGTTAAAGGTTATGTTTTATGGAATTTAAATGAAGTCTTCCGCATTCTATGTTTATGATACGTATACAATAGCGACCTTAAATTAAGTAGAAAATTTTGGGTCGTTACATTTAGTCACTCACTAGATTCCACAATCCCATTCTAGGGCCGGAGGATAGTGGAGAAGACACTAATGGTGGTTCGAAATCGGTTCGTGAGGAAAAATGAATTTGAACTACAAAAGGTTAGTATTCAAACTCATTAAGTTTTAAAACTTATGAACCTGCTAGTTATTTACTATAATTGATGTTCTAAAAGTGCCTAAGATCAAAATTGTTTCCGCATGTGTTATATTAACACCATCACCATATACTCTACACACAGCCCATACGTGCGAGTATGGGCTCACCAGCTAGTTCGCACACCGTTGGGCCACTTTCCTTATCCAGTGGGCATACTCTGAGAGCCCCTTATGCCGGGACCCGTTAAAATTAGAACCGTCACGGCAGCGCTATGCAAAGCATAACGATCGTTGTCCTACCATTGGATGTACGCGTTCATACCTTCGTAATGGGATAGGGGTATCCCCCCAAATGCATGAACACACATAATGCATGAGGTCCCCCCTACTTCTACATTTATCATTAATGATCATAACCCCCTATCACGTTCCATGCTTCATGTCATTCTCATTTTCAATTCACATTTCATACATATTCCTATCGGGGTTATAATTCCAGACAGTTTACCGTGTTTCATGTCATACAATTCATGTTGTTTACATTCACATATTCCATACAATCGTGCCATAATCATTCAAGGACCACACATCGTTACATGCATAACATAACACATCAAACTTGTGGTATGAATGGTACACTTGTGGTTATTTAATTGTGTATATCGGTACGTTGAATATTAAACTTATTTCATGTATTTATTTATGAATACATGTATATGAGAGTTTTATATAATGGAAGAGTCATGAGATTTAGATTCATTTGATAGATACGTGTTTTAGTTTATTCATATATCATTATATTGATAGTACATGTACGTGACTTGGGATGACGTCAGGATATATGGGTCATGTTAATAGGGAACTAAGATGTGATGATGAGATGCAACATTGTATTGAGAGACCTTGGCCATGAGTAGAGGCAAGGTCAAGCCAATGACTTGGCCTAGTGTAAGAGACATGTCGGTTGTGTCCTAGATGATTGAACATGCACGCGCAAGCGGCGTGTGTGGCCGAACAAGCTTGGTTTCCACACATGTGATGTTTGGTTGGCAAAAACAAACCTTGCCCAAGGTTCGACGAATCTACAAAGTCAGGGGAAAAAGGAATATGAGGCTTGAATTTTCCTCAAGGCTGGTTGTGAGTGTGTCAAAATCATGACGCTGCACGATTGAAGAGTACGACTATGACATGCAACGCTATTTGCTTCCTCTAAGATGTAGTGGACGCGTTGTCGGCTTCCTTTAAGATTCTAGCTCCACTTGATTTCCAACCAACTTCAATTAGCTTGAATGTGTAACGGCCCAGATCCACCGCGCAAATATTGTCCTCTTTGGGCTTCTCCTCAGGGTTTTAAAACGCGTCTGCTAGGGGAAGGTTTCCACACCCTTATAAAGGTGTTTTGTTCTCCTTCCCAACCAATGTGGGACATCACAACCCATCCCCCTTCGGGGCCCAGCATTCTCGCTGAGACTCTTTCCTTTCTCCAATCGATGTGGGACCCCCGACAAATCCACCCTCTTAGGGGCCCAGCGTCTTTACTGGCACTCCATCTCGTGTCTACCCCTTTGGGGAACAACCTCCTTGCTAGCACATAGTCCGGTGTCTAGCTCTAATACCATTTATAACGGCCTAGATCCACTGCTAGCAGATATTGTCTTCTTTGGGCTTTCCCTTTCGAGCTACCTCTCAAGGCTTTAAAACGTGTCTATTGGGGAAGGTTTCCACACCCTTATGAAGGGTGTTTTGTTCTTCTCCCCAACCAATGTGGGACATCACAGAATGGATTGTCGTAGGTAAAATCAAACTTCTAAGCTTAGAACCGTCTAGTTAAGCTTACATTGGAATGTCTATAGGCTAGGTTGGATGAAATTGACGCTCGTTCATGACTATATGCATGTTTTACGAGACATCTTGAGTTGGAAGTGTATAATGTATGATTGAAATACCATGAAAATATATATTTGTCTCGTAAGGTATGCAAGTCATATTGTCATTACCCAATTTACGTATGATTGAAATATAATGCAAATATATGTTTTTCTCATAAGGTATGCAAGTCATATGTTTGTCTCGTAAAGTACGTCACACCTCTCTATAAGTGATATTCTCACCGAAGATAGCTTTGTAATTCCTTCCCATGTGGCCAATTTCAGCCTTTCATCATAGCGTGACACCATATCATGTAGCTCGCTAGAGCACTGTTACTCATTGATCCTTAATCTGAGCATGCAAGGTAGGTTCCTATCATCATGGTGCCTGGTCCTTTCTTTCTCTAAATGATGGGAGAGTGGGACATAGCTTGACCTTATTACAATTGCCCTGACTCTAAGGTTCACTAATTTAACACGACATTTCCACAACCTTAACTATGTGAGAATGCTTGTCCATTCGTGAGGACGACATGGAGAGTAGTCATACAATCCTAATACCACATCTTACCATAGCATATTTTTCATCTCGGAGGCAATTATTCACTGGGAATATCCATCAACCCATAACTCATAAATGGCGTAATGCAGCTATTGCGCTCCTGAAAGTCCATATATTTGAACTTAGTCTTTGAAGACTCTAACTAAAACATACATCGAGTTCAATAGCTCTTATAACATTTCATATACTACTTTACAGGGCTAGACTGCATACTTAGTCACGACGAGACATGGAGTCAGTTGAATAAAAAAAGGGGTACAACTCCCTACCTAAAAAAAAGTCTACAGGCCTAAAACCAAACTCTTTGGTACCAATTTGTCACAATCCACTTTTTTAGGCTTCCCATCTCCAACCGTGACATAAAGAAAAAAAGTGAAAATAAATAAGATAAAACTAAAATAAAATTAAATATGAAAAAATGCACCACCGCGCCATTCTCAAATGCTCTCTCACCTTGACTCACCTAGAAAAAAAAAAGAAAAAAAGAGGAAATGGGTGAGTATAAAAATACGGCCCTCATTGCATCGTTATTCTAGTAACTTAACTATGTTTGGTTGTGCATTGACGTTTAATTGTTATGTTGAGCTGCCTCAAATGCCGGTGAAGGTTTTTAAATCCTGAACTAGGGGTTGCTTCCAGCCCCTGCTTCAACTAATGGTTCAGCTCCTCCCGGTAGGGTTGAACCCAGTGTGGACCTGCGGTGACTTCAATTCACCAAAGGCAGAGATTTCATTGGCTCTTGTTAATATATTTTTTTCCATTTATATTTAACATATCTAATATATTAAATATTAATTTAAACCCTTCAAATTAAATACATTTTCCCTATTTATTTAATATATCTCATATATTAAATATGAATTTAACCTTTCAAATTAAATCTATTTTCTTCTATATATTTAATATAACTAATATATTAACTAAAATTTGATATTTCAAATTAAATCTATTTTCTCCTCTTTATTTAATATAACTAATATATTAATTATTAATTTGACATTTTAAATTAAATCTATTTTCTCCTTTATATTTAATATATCCAATATATTAAATATCAATTGGAACCCTTCCAATTTTCTTTCAAATAAATAGAACCTTTTAGTTACTATGAGCTAGCAAGAGACCTTATGGACCTAGCAATTATAAGCGATATAAAATTAATTAATTAAACTCTTTAATTAATCAATTTCCATTCCTTAACTATAGATCATTCCACTATAGGACAAGTTATGCACTGTGGGACAAGTTATGTCCATTGATATAACCATTACAAACAAGTCAATCTAGACTTTTCTCTAGGCTCTAGAAAGTTCGAGACTATTTCTACACTTCTATAAGCTTATGAGAAAACCTCAAAGTTCCAAGTGTTTTCAAGACCATCACAAACTCACTCGTGGTCTAGACGAGGTTCACCTATTATTAGTGCCATAGATCTACTCGGCCCAAAATCTCAACTCTAGAATGAACTACTTTCCTTTTATTAGACTTAGTCAACTTGCATAGCCACAATAGTAAAAATGACAGGTATTCTGGACTAACGCACATCATCCATGGAAGGTTAGCTGGCAACCCTTCCACAAGGCCATAAAGACACTCTTAATCTAGAGGTAGAGACCGATGTGCCGAGCAACTACTGGGTTATCTGCGTGGTCCCACACCCCCTCTCATGACCATATAAGAGCACATGGTTGTCTCGACGCACTACAATTCATGCCTAGGCCTAACTCGAAGTTACCTATACTCCTACCGCTAGGCAAGGGCGTTGGTGCTAAGACTGTACTAGAAAAGATAGGAGGAGAAGACTTTGGAGACACCATCACACTACTACTAAGATTGTTAGGCTTTCTTAGTCGTCCTTGTCGTGGAGATCTATTAGGTTCTTCGGGTGTTTGTGAGATTTAAAATGAAAAAAATAACGTATAAAACTTAAAAATTCACAAATCGATTAAATAGATTTAAATTTTATGGGTTACATTCTTAATTTAATCTTTTTTTAATTCTCATTTGAGAAATTAAAAAAGAAATCAAAATTTTAAGTATTTAGTAAGAAGTAAAAAGAAATTAATCTTATTTTTATTTACTTTTTCAATTTTTATTTTTAATTAATTCCAAAACATTGAATTTCTAAAAATAAAAAAAAAAATTTAAACTTAAAATACATACCATTATAAACTAAATTTCAATTATACATCGAAAATAATATCAGAGTCGTTTTTTTTTAATTGCTTTGGTCATAAGGCTAATTCCCTGACCAAACGGGCCACTTGGTAACTATGAGCGTCTCTTCGTCTTCGTACCTGAGATGTCAGATTCAGTTCGCAGTAGAGGGGCCTAGTGGCACCCTTGCCTAACGTCTCGGTCTAGATAGAAAGTATTAAAAATTTGAACAAAATTAAATAAAATTTAAAATAAAACCTATTATTATAATTATTTAAATAATAATTTTATATTTATCTATAAATATTAAATAAATAAAGGGAGATAAAAGAAGTCCAGCAAGGTTTCCATATTTACTCCTTCGATAGAGAGCAGGGTGTCGGGATCGCCCGCAGTGGTCGCAGACTAACAATCCTGGCGGTATCCATATCCACACACCTCTCTGGAGGGAGAGGAGGGAGAGAAATGGCGTCGTCTGCAGGCGGGATGTACATGTCTTTCTCTCTCTCCCCCTCGGCTCCTCACTCTCCTCATCTTCCTGCTCTTCGCTCTCCATCTTCTGCATCTGCTGCTGCTCTACTCGAGCAAGAAAAGTAACCGATCCACTCTTTTTTTCTTGTTTTTTTGGCTTTTTTTGGCTCTTTGTGTTGTTGCTTTGTGAGATCTGTGATTTGTGTTTATTTATCTTTGTTTTTTTTGGATCAGTATGGTTTTGTTTTTGAGTCTTCGTTGATTTGTACAATCGTTGTGTTAGTCACCTGATTCACGTACTAGCTACTGAGTTCTTAAACTGTTTGGACTTAGTTTATACTTGTTCCATGTGCTTCTTGTTTGATTGTCTGATAGATGTTAGATCCGAGCTTATTACACCGTCTTTTGATTTTAGATTACGTTTCTTTTTATTCATTGTTGAAGTTTTCTACTCTCTTTAGTTGCTTAACATCCATATCTTCTGGAGATCTTTTTTTTTTCTTGTGGCATAATCGTGTTATGACAGGCCATTTAACTGATTATATTTTAATTTTTACTCTATTTTTCTTTTTCTTTTGCAGGTATCTCTCCGAGTTGTTGGAAGAGCGGCATAAACTAAATCCGTTTATGTCTGTGCTCCCTAATAGTTGTCGATTGCTGAACCAAGGTGAACTTCATAGCCTTATCGAAGTAACTCTTGAGAAATAGTTTGCTTCCATCGTTGTTTCTCATTTGGTTGATGTGCTGGAGATCTTGGGGATGAGGCATTATTGCCCAATTAAAATCAGAACAGAACATATAAGCATGACTGAGCTAATCTAACTGAAACTAATTGCAACGAATGTGATGAGAAACTATCTGATCTAACTTTAATGGTTATGCTTGCCTGTCGCTTTGCCTTTCTGCTAATACCTTGGATATTTACTTGGCAGGGACCTGAAGTGAGTAAATGGCTGTGTGTAAAACCTTTTGTGTGTGTGTGTGTGGACACAATAACTTGATAGTTGATAGCACTAAACTAAAGTGACTACAATCAAAATTGGACACTTCTTCCATGAAAAAAAAATGAGGATAGAGTTTTCCCCTATCTCTAATATTGACCAACCATCCCCATTAGGTTACAAAAAATAAAAATAAAAATAATAAAGAATTCATGTTACATTGGTTGTCTGTCTTATATCTTATAGATCGGTCTAGAAGCATATGAGTTTAGATGCAAGCTCACATGTAAATGTTCTAGCTGTTCGGTACTGAGTCTAATTTTTATCAGTGCAAGTCCCTTTCCTTGGCATCATTGAGAACCGATCCTTGTATTTTTAGCTTTCCCATTGCCTTTATACCTCTGTATCTTTCTTTCTACACTTGTCTGTTAACTCCTTGTATTAACAAGTATAAATTTGTCTGTAACTTGATGGAAATTATAATATACTAATTAATTCTAATAATTTATTGCAAGTTATTTGATTTCTTCTACCTTTGCTGCCTTTTGTCTACTTTATTTTTTGAGTTTCTGTGGCGTATGCAGCTTATGAACTTCCTTTCTCAAGCATTTGGTGGCAATATTAATATTTCATATTGATATTGCTCTATAGTAATGGGGTTCAAGTAATTTATTTTTTTTCTTTCTTTTGAACATTAAATTTCTTTATGAAAGATATATTTCACTGGCCCAGAAGTGAAAAACACCATGTTGTGTGTCCATTATGTGGTAACTACTAACTTTTTAACAAATGCGCTGACTGGTACATCTTGTTCTTGAAAATTGACATTTTTGGAGCAGAAATATTGCGTGTAACCACACTATTGGGGAAGGCATCAGTTTTAGGTCAAAGTGGGCTTGAATATTCCAGCCCCCTGGCTTCTGGAGGAATATTTTCAAATGGAGGTGCTGACATGAATGGATGGCCATCACGGTTTCAATCAGAAGTACGGATACTAACCATTAACATAACCTTACTGCCCATCTAATTTACTGTACATAAGAAGCATTGCTGACACAAATTTCTACATTTTTGTGCTAACTCATGGAATTTACTAATTGCACTTGGGGATAGCTTCTCTAATTAAAAAAATGAGACTTCGCTTTATTTTTCACTGATGCATTTTTTTCCCAGTCTTTTAGTTTTTTCAGCTTCTCTAATGGTTCTAACAAATTGGTTCTCCACCTTCAGCCATCTTGATAAATGGATTACAACGTCGATCAAGTTCTGAGGAGCTTACTTACTTTTCTAATTTGTCTTTATGTGTGTGACAAGTTCTATGTGTGAATAATTGATCTTACTTTTCTAATTTGACTTAAATGTTTTGTTTTTTAGTGCCAAGGGTTTAATATTCTAATATAGATGCTGACTCGTTAGTTAACTTTTGTTTATCCCTTGTCTATATTGGTGAAGGGACTTTTCAAGAAACTTTACCTGTTTGCACACTTGGAATTTTGAAATACATAAATTAGTGGCCCCAAGAGTAATTTATGTCAGTATTAGCGCATTCCTATGGTTGTCCAAGAGTAATTTATGTCTGTATTACTTTTCTAATTTGACTTAAATGTTTTGTTTTTTAGTGACAAGGGTCTAATATTCTAATATAGAGTGCTGACTCGTTAGTTAACTTTTGTTTATCTCTTGTCTATCTTGGTGAAGGGACTTTTCAAGAAACTTTACCTGTTTGCACACATGGAATTTTGAAATACATAAATAAGTGGCCCCAAGAGTAATTTATGTCAGTATTAGCGCATTCATATGGTTGTCCAAGAGTGTGTCTTCATTAAGTGAAAAAAAAAAAAGTAGAGGAAAAGAAAAGAAAAGAAAAGAAAAGAAATATGCTACTTTAAGATCCACGACAACATTTGAATGGTTCTGGGATTCCTAGTATTCCCTTAAGCAACCTAAACATTATCATACTTTCTATGCATGATTATAATGTTCTCTCTCAAGGTATGCAGTGTTTTCAGTACTCTACACTTTCTCCCGGGATTGTTGTACTAGAATCTATGACTTTGATATATATTGTTTCTGAAAATATCCCATGTTCTTTACACCAAAGTTATGTTGGCTGTTAAACATATCTTGTGTAGGATGATTGCCTTCATATTAATTTTCTGGTATGAACTCTATATGATGTTGTGTATGTAGATGTCAGGTTTATTGCAACCCTCATCAGCACAAAATTGGCTAAGTTCCCAAGGTAGTTCGTCAAGTCTTATTGTGAAGAGAACCATCAGAGTAGACGTTCCTGTTGACAACTACCCTAATGTATGAATTAGCATTGTGTTTTGTGCGTTGTCTTTTTGTATGTTTCTTGATGAAATCTAATTGAACCTTTTTTTTTTTTTTGGATAGTATAACTTTGTCGGCCGCCTCCTTGGACCTAGGGGAAACTCTCTTAAGCGAGTGGAGGCAAGTACCGATTGTCGAGTTTTGATTAGAGGACGAGGTAGCATTAAGGATCCAGTTAAGGTAATTTACTATAAATTTTCATTTTCATGTTATGTTGTATGTCACGTTTTGGTTGTTAATCTATTATATTATGCAGGGAAAAATTAGAAATTCTATGTCTAAACTTTTAAGATGGTCACACTTTAGTCTTCTAACTTTTAATCGGATCAATTACACCCTCATTAAGAATGGTTGCAATGTCACTTTTCCATTTAAATAAATCAAATAACTTTTTTAACTATTTCTTTTAAGATTATTATTTTTACGGTGAAAATGTGTAGAAATCAGGCAAGGATGGAGAGAATTGTTGCAACCTAACTCCTATCTTTAAGTTTGGTAACCTTTCCATGAATTCTTTTTTTAATAAACACGAATGGAGGAAGGGAGAGATAGATACTCCACCCGTTTCTCCCCAGTTCTGTCTCTTGTATAACTTCTTCCCCCTATTTTTTATTTTCCCTGTCAATTCTCTTTGCCTCTCATGCCCCTATTCACCCTTTTTCTAACTTTATCTTCTTATTTATAAGACCTCCCATTTACCTCTCCTATTTCTTTAAACTTGTTGTATTTATTTGTTTTTGATAAATCACAAGAGAGTTTAATATTTAATAGAACTATTTGTTAATGAAATGACAATCTTTTTCATTTTTACTTCATTAAATCTCAATTTCAATTAATTCTTCAAAATTAATTTGGACATTTTTTGTATTTGAGTTGTTGCAAATCTTGTTTTATTATTTTCATTCTCGTCTCAAACCAATGATTTAAAGTTCTATGTCATACCTGCCTTTAGTATTGAGGAACAGAAACCTCATTTGACTTGTTCTTTGTACGTGACAAAGAACTTCATGATGAAATTTTGTTTTCATGATGTGGAAATTGAGTAGCTTAGATCATAATGGTTTATATATATATTTATATATAATTTTTATGTTTTCTTTAGGATGAGAGCATATTGAACAACACGGGTTGGCCTAGTTTCACTAAGGGTTGTGTAAATAATAAAGGGCTTTAGAGGAAATGAGTTCAAGTCATAGTAGCCACCACAAGTCTTAAGAGAACAATGGAAGCATTTGATTTCACTAGGGTTATGAATTTTTTGTTTACTATTATTATTACTACATAGAATAAGACCTGACAATACAAAAATGACGAACAAAAAACAGCCCAACAATGAATCATTAAATTTACACAAGACTAAATCTCTTCCCAAGACTTCTCCACATGATTTGATTTTAGAAATCAATTTGCAGAAAGATCGATGTAGCAAATTATGTTGGTTATATCATGGACAAGTAACATTCACTGAAGGTGTTTTTTCATAAGAAGAAAATTTCACTATCATATGAAGTTTACCAAAGAAGGGTCAAGGATACCTATTGCACTGATGTTTAGTGTAAGAACCGTTTCAACATGATTAACAGGAAGTACAAGAATGAGAAGGCCAGGGTTCAGGTTCCCATGGGGGGTTTTTCTTGTCTTGGTCGTCTTGATGAATTGACTGAACCTTCTGTGTCCATGAAGAAACCCTCCTCTCCTCCCAGGGCTCTTCCTTTGCTTTTTTTGGAAGATACCTCCCCCCCCCCCCCCCCCCCCCCCCCCCCCCCCCCCCCCCCCCCCCCCCCCCCCCCCCCCCCCCCCCCCCCCCCCCCCCCCCCCCCCCCCCCCCCCCCCCCCCCCCCCCCCCCCCCCCCCCCCCCCC